ATTCTCTCTCTGCATGCCACAGGCTGAAATGGTTCCTAAGCTCTGGATCCTAGCCCAGCTGCCTTTGTAGTGTAGCCAGGGTTTAAATTCAGCCGGAGCTGTCCAGAGCAGAGCTCCAGTAAATATTTTCAAACCCGTGGGGAGCCCTGGTACGCCTCACAGGGCTGAAGCCCCACGCCTCGGTGCCAACCCCCTGTCAGGCTAAAGCACAGAGCCTTGGTGCTGCCTCCCCCACTGGGCTGAAGCCGTGAGCCCCAGTGCCCCACCCTGGGACTGAAGCCTGGAGCCCTGCCATGCCACCCCAGGGCAGAAGCCCCAAGTTGCCCAGCGGCTGAAGCCCCGAGCCCCCAATCCCCACAGTAGGCCCTGGCGGTTTTATAGCATGGCGGGGGCTGGAAATAATTTAAGAATTTAAGCCCTGAGTGTAGTCGAGGCCTCAGGGATACTGAGGGTGTTCCATTCCTCCTGAAAGCGTTGATCCATTCCTTGCTCTGGCCCACGTCAGTTGAGTGCTGGAAGGAGCTTCCTCAGGAAAAGCTGCTGTGGACACTGTGATATCTAGAGGTACATCTGCCCAGCAAGCAGAAACCCGCAGCCGTCAGAGCCCGGGTCTACAGACCAGCTCACGGGGCTCACGCTACGGTGCTAAAAATAGCTATGTAGATATTTGGGCTGTCTATATCGGTAGATATTTGGGCTCAAGCTAGTAGGGTTCGGCACCTGAGCGCCAGCTTGAGCCCAAATATCTACACAGCTGTTTTTAGCACTGTAGCCGGAGTCTGTAGGCCTGGGCTCTGAGACTTGCTGCTGCAGGTCTCTGCTCCATGTGCAGCATACCTAGATAATGCAGAAACTTAGGTGGAGCAGCAAAGTGCAGAGCCCAACTCAGCAGAAGCCTTTTAGGGCCTGTTTACACTAGCTAAAAAGTGTTGCAATAGCCTGTTAGTTGGAGCACCTTGATCTTGCAGTGAGGAGTCGGTGGCACCTTAAAGACTAACATTTAATTGGGCTTAAGCTTTCGTGCATCTGAAGAAGTGGGGTTTTTTACCCACAAAAGCTTATGCCCAAATAAATCTGTTAGTCTTTAAGGTGCCACCGGACTCCTCGTTGTTTTTGTGGATACAAATTAACATGGCTACCCTTCTGACACTTGATCTTGCAGTGCTGGTAGATGTAGGCATGGTCCCGTCCCTTTAGGGACGCAGGGAGGGAGCAGGCCCCTGAGTGCAGAGGGTGAGAGAGTGCATGAAGTGGGGTTAGAGAAGGCTCCTTGACCCCTTCCCCTCCCTGTTCCCATCCAAGGGCTGGGCAAACTGGCAAATCCGCAACAGACTGGGATCTGGAATGCCGATATATGAGACCTCACACCTTGCCTTGTGCTTGTGGCTTTGCTGAGTTGCAGTCCATGTCATCTACTTCTGACTCGTCCATTTCGTCTGAAGAAAATAATGCACTCTGGGCTTCATGAAGTGGATCAATACCAGAGGCTGTAAAGTTTCGCAACAGGTGTTGTGTTTCGCAATGACAAGCGCTGGGAGCTAGGGGGAGGAACAGGGACATGGCGCGCTCAGGGGAGGAGGTGGAGGTGAGCTGGGGCGGGGAGCTGCCAGTGGTACAGAGCACCCACCAGTTTTTCCCTGTGGGTGCTCCAGCCCCAGAGCACCCATGGAGTCAGTGCCTATGGGCTGCATCTACACTGCAAAGCAATAGGACTTGGATCCTGGCTCCCAGTTTAACTCAAGCTCAGAGCCCCCAGCCCTGCAGGGTCTTGGGACCTTGGGTCCGAGCCCTGGGTTAGCGCATTTGCAGTGTAGGCACAAGGGGTGTTAGGCTCGAGCCTGGGCTGAAGCACAGGCTTACGTTGCAGTGTAGACATAGGTCTGATCTACACTACAGACCTATATCAGTGTAACTACATTGCTCAGGAGTGTGAAAAATCCATACGCCTGAGCAACATAGACTGACCGTACTGCCCTGTGTAGGCAGCTGTGTGTCGGCGGGAGAGCTTTTCCAGCTGCCATAGCTACCGCCTCTCCAGAAGATGGATTAAATACACCGATGGGAAAGCTCTGTCCCAAAGGCAAAGAGTGTGTCTGTTAAAGTACTAAGTGGTGCAGCTGTGCTGCTCCAATGCTGTAAGTGTAAATAAGCTATTTAAAACCATTTTTGTGTGCATTGCAGTGCTGGTGAAAGGGGCTAGAGTCCTCTAGTTATCCCCAGAACAGGCAGGACATTTCACCACCAGCGCTCCCTGTCAGTGTGCTTCGGGTCTGCCCTGGCGGGAACAGTCTTCAGAGATGGGAGAGAATTCAGACTCCCAGTTCTTAGCACCTCTGTTCAGATTGCCAGCGGGCGACGGGAGGAGGCAGTTAGAGCTGATGGCAATGGTGGGTTTGCACTGCGAACATCTGTCCATTTGAACAGTAACAATCTGTGACCCACTAACCCCTTTTAGTCCCATGACTACAGGGGTGTTAATGGGCCACTTCACTTTGCATGGGCCCTTGGAATATGTGCTAACTAGTTATGCTAAACTGTCCATCTTGTGTTTAGCTGTGAACAGTCTAAGTACATTTCCCAGACCTGAGGAGGAGCTCTGTGTCAGCTCGAAAAGCTAGTCTCTCTCACCAACAAGGGTGGGTCTAGTAAAAGATGTGATCTCCCCCACCTTGTCTCTCTAATATCCTGGGACCCATACGGCTACAGCAACGCTGCATACGACACTAGGGGCTGGACATTTTTCCCCTTAGGCCAGCAAGTAGCCCTGGGATGGGAAGAGCTAGGGCTCACTGTTGTTCAAATTTGGCCTAATACTCCCTGTATGAGGGCACAAGCCCTGCCCTGAAATCTGCTTCTCTGCTCCAGGGCTGTGCCTTACCTTGGAGCCCTCACCCTAGCCTTGTGAGGAGCTTCCTGATTTCCTGTCTTCATCTTGGGGTTCCAGGAGGTCCCCAGGACAGAGTGCACATAGGGTATAGAAAGCAGCTTCTCTGCTTCCATCTTCCTCGTGCTGGTGCTGCAGCAGCCCGGTGCTCCCGCCTGCTGTTTGGGGCTGGAAGTCAGCAGCCCCAGTCTGTGTCTTTTCTAACTTCATCTGGGTAATATTTTAATAAATCATTGTGGACAGTGCTGGGTCCATACATCAGTTGTTCAGCGCCCTAAAGGCTTTCAGGTCGGTGATGGATACATTGCAAGCATGGGGGTTGGCTGAAATTGTATCCATCCAGCCAATCTCCCTCTCGCATCCTAGGGAGGGGGGAAGGAGACTGATAGGAAGCTGGCGAGAGATCCCTCTACCTGATATTTGACAACATAGTCATCTGTGGGACAACAGGGCCTAATGAAACTAGATTACATGGTTTTACTTTGGCAGATCAGTTTGAAGAATGTGGCGATTTCATTCGGTTTCTCTTATTTATCATTACTGTGGTGCTGCTGTGTGGACGGTGGAGCAGGAAGCAGCAATTCTGTACAGCTCAACTGACTCTCAATTGCAGAAGTGTCAGGTGGGTGGGAAGTGAGAATGTCTCTGGGGCCCAGGGATGGGCCATAGGGTGTCACCCTCCTCCCTGCCCACCATGGGACAAGGTGAAGGAGTGCTCTGGCTCCTCCTCCTCCAGGAATGCTTGTGACATCTGGCTTTGAAATCCCACTGCTGCACAATGTGAAAGCTGCTGTGTACTCAGGAGGGAAATAATTGAAGGAAGACAGCCAGGTCTGGTGGGCTAAGCCTTGGGCTAGGGGCCAGGACTCTCTTGGGTTCTTTTTCCAGCTCATTGTTTGCCCTTTGATGCAAGTCACTCCCCTGTTTTGTGCCTCAGTTTCCCCATTTGTAAATGGCGGTAAGACCTCCCTCCTTCTTGGGGTGTATGAAGAATAGTTAGTGTTTGTATTGTGTTTGGAGATATCAAGCACCATGTACATGATACTTGGTTCTGTCCCCATAATGCTTCCCTCTGCCCAGTACAGGGAGAAGACTGTGTCCCCCACAGCTTGCTCCAAGGACTTCTTCTGCCCCACACTAGACAGAAGCAGATTTGGCACCTCCTGTTCACAGTGGATTCACACAATTACTTTCCATCCTTCTCCACTTAGATTTAATAATGGCTAAAGGCTTCCCTCCCCCTCATCCTCTTGCCCCCATCCCTTTGCAGGTCCCAATCCTGCATTGTCTCGGCTTCATGCACATGATGTAATAAATGACTGCAGCCTTACCCCGCCCTTGAGCATGTGTGCATGGAGCCATCCCGCTCCTTGAGTTGTCAGGCCAGGCCGGGTCCTGTCAGGGTCCCTCCCCCCCTCGTATCAGAGCCTTCATCACGAACACTGCTGAGCACAACAGTTGCCATCAAAAAGTTGACGTTTTCATTTTTCGTTGCCATACAACAGATTGTTCCCCCCGTTGATGATTTAGAGTCGAAAGTCTCTGGTCTGACACCAAGAGAGGGTTCCCAAGATAAAATAATCTCCACCAGCAGATGAAGTGACAGAAGCCCCATTAACAGCAGCATATGCCTGAACACACACACACACAGTGGGGGGGAGAGGGAGAATGCAGTAGCCCACAGAAAGAGGAGAGAGTGAGGGGGGGAAATGAAATCGCTGGTAATTAGTCTGCTGCCCTGCTAATTTACAGCATTAGTGGAACTGGGATGTGCTTCTTCCTCCTGAGCCCGGGCAGGGCTGTCCCCTGACGCAGGCAGCCATAATTACCCACATTTAACTGAGGGCTTGTAAAATCTATTTGTCTAGTAGAATGCAAATATAATTGCTGTGAATTAAATAAGGCAGCAGTATTAGCTGGGCTGTGGCCCCCATCTGATTGAGAGTGTAGAAAGTTCTGTCTCCCCCCTCCTCTCCTTGCCAGACACACCCAGAACTGAGAAGGATACTGCTTGCTTTCTCCCTCTCCTTTGGAGGTAAGGGAGGACTTGTGGGATTTCTGTGCCTCACAGCATTCCCAGCACAAACCTTTCCCCTCTCTCTTTTTCCAATGGCAGGTCTGATCGGAGTGGATTTGCTGTCTGGGTCCATCCCAACTGTGAGTATTGCCCCTGGATGTTAACAAAAACTGTCTCCTCATTCACTTGGTTTGCAGGCGAAGTATCAAATGGAACTGGTGTCTGTGCTAGTGTGGTGGGACTTGTATTAAATTGCTTGCCTTCGGTGTCTGAGGGGGTGAGAGAGAATCAAGTGTGGCCTGCTTGCCAGCAGCATCACCAAGAGCACATAGCTTAACATTGCTCTTCCTCAGCTCTTCAGCGAATGCCCAGTTTGCCGTCCAGGAGCAACGGGGGTCCTATGAGAATGCAGACTTGTTGGAGACCAGAGGGAATTTAGCGCCTTTAAGGGCTGAGCTGGGGAGGCAGAGGATGCACATGATGTCTCTGGTGAACTCTTCAGCTACACAGTAGTACGAGTGCCACACACGTGCTTTCGGAGTGTTAGTGGGAGGTGTCTCCAGGGGGGACTCCCCCCCCCCCCCGACTTCCTACACCTCCTGCCAGGCTGTTTGATGATTCTGAAAAGCTGAAACACACCAGAGATTCTTTCTGTATTAAAAAGCCCTGACAAACTCCTCCGTTCCTGTTGTTCTTTGGCTGCCAAGCTCCTGTGTAGATGAATTCCCAACATACTTTGCAGTAGTTTGGGGGTATTGCTCTTTCATTTCTGCTTTGTTTGGACAAGTTGCTTCTCCTCCTATCTGCTCACAACAAAAATGCCTGATCTGTTGTTTGAGCAAGCTGAGGAGAGAGGAAGTCCTGCTGATGCCACAACTGCATCAGCTCGAGGGGATGGAGGACTTCTGCTCCCTTGCTCCCCATCCAATCACTAGCAAGGTGTGGTGTTTTGGGAGCTTGCTTCTATGAAACTGACACTGCCAGAGCAATTGGGGCAAGGGGGCTCCCTACTGATGCCTCTGGCTCCCCTCCAAACTCCTTGGGCCTGGATGCAAAGAACAAATCATGTGTCTGTCTTTGCTGTAGCTGCTGTTGAAATATTTTAATAGCCAATATTTTAAGCATAAAGGATTCAGAGCCTCCATCCACCAAGAGAGCAACATCTCTTCAGCCTCGGTGACTAAGTCCCGGACACATGCCCAGAGTGGGCTCCTTTTTCATATCCACTCAGGCCAGTAGGTTTTGACTCGGTGTCCTTGGCTGTTAAAATGCTTCCCCTGGCAGCCCATACTCAGAATGAGTATAATGAATGTCCATGATAAGAATATGCAAGTAAGAGTAGAGAAGTGGCATGACTTCTGTATATGGCATTAGTGAGACCATTACTGGATGCTGTGTCCATACTTCAAAAAGGATGCTGACAAATTGGAAAGGGGTCAGAAAAGATCTACAAAAAATGAGGTCTGAAAAACCTGCCTCATAGGGAGTTTAGTTTACCCAAGAGAGGGCTAAGAAGCGACTTGGTGGTGGTTTAAAAGTATAACTACATTGGGAAGAGATTTCTAATAGTAGATGGTTCTTTAATTTAGTGGAAAAAGGCTTAATGAGATCCAATGGTTGGAAACTGCAGCTATTCAAATTCAGGCAACAAATACAGTGAATGTTTATACTAGTGAGGGTAATTATAGCCATTGGAACAAATTACCTAGGAACATGGTAAATTCTCCAACACTTGAAGCACACTGATATCTGTCCAAAAGATACACTATGGCTCAAACAGGAATTCTGGGCCTGATGCAGAGATTATTGGGGAGGTTCTCTGGCCTGTGTTCTAGAAGAGCTCAGACTGTGGTCCCTTCGGGCCTTATCAGCTCTGAATAATATTTCTACAGCATTTTTACTTGGGGGCCAAAGTTACGAGTCAGACCGTGACAGAGGAAACTGACCACTGAACTGCCATTACTGAAACTAAAGGGGTTCCATGTTTCTGTTGGGGTGTATGGGGATTTGCGCAAGAAAGGGGGTGGTGTCACGGAGTCCCCGAGCGATGCTCTGGAACTGCTCCCTACGAAGCCAGGCAGGCCTCTGCTGAAGTCTCCTCTCTGGGAGCAGACTGTCTGCAGTGCAAACAGCTCACACGGCTTCCCCCTTCCTGGGTCTGACCTCGGAGCATTCAGCATCCTCTGCCCCTCCGTGCGGTTCCCCCAGCGAGTCCACCCAGGTGGAGTCCTGGGGAAGCCAGAGGGCCCTGCACCCCAACTTCGCAGTCAGACATGACTCTCAGCCAGCCAGTAAAACAGATTTATTAGATGACAGGAACACAGTTTAACACAGAGCTTGTAGGTACAGAGAACAGGACCCCTCAGCCGGGTCCATTTTGGGGGGCAGGGAGCCAGACAACCACGTTTGCACTTCACTCCATGTCCCCAGCCAGCCCCAAACTGAAACTTTCTCCAGCCCCTCCTCCTCTGGGCTTTCTCCTTTCCCGGGCCAGGAGCTCACCTGATTCCTTTGCTCTCCAACCATTTAGCTCTCACCTTGCAGGGGGGAAGGGCCAGGCCATCAGTTGCCAGAAAACAGGGTGTTGGCCATTCTCTGTGTCCAGACCCCTGCACACCCCTGCCCTCTAGGGCTCTGCAATGATCATACACCCTTATTCCACCACCTAGATACTTCAGAACTGCCTAGGGGAAACTGAGGCACCCCCACACTATTCAGAGGAAACATTAAGAACAGTCCCGCTTCGTCACAGGTGGGTATCATGAGGCAGTGCACTAAAAATTGATCTAAGAGAAACAACAGGAGGTAATGAAATCATGTCCCCAACTCTTGTGAGAATCTTGCTTTACAACAGTGGCTCCCAAACTTTTAGTTCATGTACCACTTTCTTAAACAAATTATGAAGTGAAGGATTGGCTCATCAAGCTCACGTACCACCAGTGGTACACACAGCCCCATTTGGACCCCCTCCTCTGGAAGGCACCAGAGCACTCCCTCCGTTCTCTAAAACTGGAGCTGGTTTGTAGAAGGCTTTGAGATTTGTGCAGTTCTTGAGCTTTGTAACTTGTTCTGTCATTCTGCCCATGCAGACAACTGTCTAGTGACTCCTGTGCGAGATCTCTTCATAATCTCAATCCAGTGGCTCGTGGACAGGTGCCCACCTTGTACAACCCACCTGCACAATCAGCACTTAACAGATTCAGCAGAGTTTAGGGACTGAATGGACTATGGAGACTGAATTCTCCTCTCATCCCTAGAGGTGGGCGAAGGGGAAACACAATGGCAGGGCAGTGTGTAGGAAGCTTGCCCTGCTGCTGCCTTTGCTTTGTCCTGGGGATAAAGAGTGTTGGTTACCAGTGTTTGTCCATCTGGCGCTCTTTGTCAGCATGAAATTCACTTAAATCTAAAATTAAAGCCTGGTAAGTAATTTGCCACAGGGTAACCAAGCAGCTTTCATGATCTCACTCTTCCTTCACCCTTGGATAGAGCCTTGCACTTCCATTTGCTAGCAGACATGCTGCACTGGGGGATGTATACACATCACTTCCTGAATTCCTGGCTGTGCTGATGCTGGGCAACAGATGTTCCGTGTGCTCCAGTCCTTTGGCATCATTCCTGATTGGGAGAATTTCCTGTACGGAGGCTTGCAGAGTGCAAACAATGGTTGGTTCAGTGGTTCCTCCAAGCTTTGGAACAGGTCTCTGGGCTGAGCCGGGCTAAAGCAGACATTTTATTGGGCTAGACTGAGTTCTGCATAGAAAGGGGTATGATAGGAAAGTGGAGGATTGCTGCAAACACCCACTCTGATTTGTAGGGTTAAGGCTGAGAATCACAATCCTCAGAAGAAAGCTCCAGGACAGAACGATTAAATAGGATTTTGTTGCTCCTCAGTAAGACAGGAGGATAGCAGCACCATTCCCATTGGGGCAGCCTGTCCCGCCTCTCTCTCTGCTTGATCCTTGCCCTGTGGGTAGCTTAGTGCTGGGGGCACTGGGTGGGTGGGTGTGAAGCCTTGAGCAACAGTGGTGGTGTTTCTTATTATATGAGCACCCGATATGCTGAGTGCCTCATAAACCAAGGGATGCAGGGTCCTTGGCCTGAAGAGCATACCCACTAAATGTAACTGGACCTAGCGAGTAAGAGGTCATATCAGACAAACAGGAGTGGAGGGGAAGCGGGCAGGCAAGGGTGACCAGAATACAATCATGCACAAACTCCACAGGGTTGAAGAGGGACTTACGTGGCGCTTGAGCCTTGTGCTGATCCCTTTGCGGAAAGGGGCTTCACCCTAAGTGTCATAGTTCCTGAGCAAACTTTGTTGAGGGACAGGTGAAAGCCAGCTAGCTTCCTGGATGGAGAAAAAGAGAAGCTTAGAGGAAGCATGGAATGAGAAGGGTTAATTGCAGAGAGATTTTTACCCTGTGGCATAAACACTACAGAATCTGGGCTTGCCTTCATTGGCATATTGAAATACCTCCTAAAGGGGCTTCATGTGGAAAGTTCTGAGTTTTAATCCATCTTCCTATAGAAGGGAGGAAATTATTCATAATTAAAAAGTAATAATAATGTGGAATGAAGGAACCCAGCTGTATAAAACCCAGCACAAAGAGGGGAGTGTGGGGAATCTATTTTTAATGGTTTCCACAGCAACAGAGACTTTGTTTACAGTGATTTGCGTCCTGCTCTGAGAGGCTGTTCCCAATTTACATTTACCAGAAGTTCTCTGTGGAAGGGTTCCTCTTTGTCACTGGAGGGTACTGTGGGCTCTTGGGAATGATGCCCATTGTTGTTGGATTGGGTTCCTGAAATGATGACTGCTGCTCATGAAACAGAGTGACTAAAAGCACCACCTCAAGCCAGGTGTCTGCCAGCGCATCTCGATCCTGACTTCTGACACCCTTTGGCATCTTCCTGTTCTGGGCTGACACAGTTCTGCCAATGACATTGTGGTTGTGTGATGTGGAGAAATATCATTTTCTAAGGGGTAGCCTAAGACTTGCAAATTTATCACCACCTTCAGGATTTGAACCCAGGGTCCCAGTGGCTGGCATGTGAACCTCATGACACTTTGTGAACCCCTGATTGTGTACACCCTTTCGCCTTCCATTTGCAAAGCAAATGTCGGTTGGATTCATTTGCC